CTATTTATACGGATATATATATATATATATATATATATCTAAATACACTTACAAATATATATATATATATGCATATATTTATTTATATTTGTATATATAATAATAAATAAATAAATATAAATAAATAAATATATATTAATATATATTTATTTATATTTATTTATAATGATATGTGTGATATATGATTAGAATGCAGGGACGAAGTATCATCATACATAGAGAGCTTGAAGAAGCTAGAGAGCAAAAATATAAAAGATATATATAACACCTCTCCGCCTCCTCCTCAGCATTATTTATTTAATGTTTGTAATATAGACTGGAGACGAAGGCTTAGGAAAGCTCACCGCTCTCTTTATATCCGCATCATTAACCTTACAGCCTTCACCTTCTTCTTAGACTCAAAAAAATTCGCTGCTTTACCCCTTGAAGAGGGTACTTGGGTTGAAGTTCGTCTCTTATTTATTTTATTTATTTTATTTATTTTATTTATTTTATTTATTTTATTTATTTTATTTATTTATTTTATTTTGTTTATTTAGTTTGTTTAATTAGTTTATTTATTTTATTTATTTATTTATTTTATTTTATTTATTTGACTTTATTTATTTATTTTTATTTTATTTTATTTGTTTATTTTATTTATTTAGTTTGTTTTATTTGTTTTGTTTTATTTCAGTTTATTTTATTTATTTATTTTATTTAATTATTTTATTTTATTTTATTTTATTGTCTTGTTTTTTTGTCTTGTTTTGTTTTGTTTTATTTCAGTTTATTCTATTTTATTTATTTTATTTATTTTATTTTTTTAGTTTTGTTTTGTTTTGTTTTATTGTCTTTTGTGTTTTTTCTTTTATTTTGTTTAATCTAATTTAATTTAATTTAGTTTAATGCAGTTTAATTTTAAGTTGCTTTATTTTAATTTATTTATTTTTGTTTTATTTATTTTATTCTTTTCTTCTGTCTTACTTATTATTTTATGTTTTTGTTAATTTAATTTAATTTTTATTACTTTTTATTAATTTTGTTTAATTAATATTATTTTTCTTATGTTTAATTTTGTTTTATTCAGTTTAACTTTATTATTCGATAGATCGATAGATAGATATTTATATAGATAGATATTAATAATATAGTATTTATTATTATTATTATTATTATTATTTATTTGCTCGGGTGTATGCGCAGTTTCCTAGCGAAGAAATCCCTCCGCTTTGTTCGTCCGAATTTGGCTGTCAAAGCGACGGATTTCTGCTCGGCACAGGGGGCTCCTGCACTTATTTAGTAGACAAACAACAGGGGTATCTACTTAATTTAATTTAATTAATTTAATTAATTTAATTAATTTAATTTAATTTACTTATTATTTTATTCGTCTGTTTGCTCGTTTATTTATTTGCTTGTCGGTTTTATTTTTTTGTTTATTTGTCTGTGCACTTATTTAGTAGACAAACAACAGGTGTATCTACATAATTTAATTAATTTAATTTAATTTATTTATTTAATTTAATTTAATTATAAAATACATATATATATATATATATTGTTTTGTTGGGGTGTATAGGCACCTTGTATATATATGTATACATACATACATACATTCTACATATATATATATATAGATATAGATATATATATATATATATATATTGTTTTGCTGGGGTGTATAGGCATCTTTTATTTGTGTGGGATCAGCCGGGCATGGGAGGCTGTCGCAGTTTGGGTGTTCATTCGAAGAAAACTTTTAAGGTGTATATACACCTCGAGAACTTAAATGAAGGGTCGCTGATATTTCACGTCTTAGACCCCGCTAATCCTCCTCTTATTCAAGTAAGAAGATTATATCTATTTATTTTATCTTTACTGTCTCTTTATTGTCTTTACTGTCTCTTTATTATCTTTACTGTCTCTTTAGTATCTTTACTGTCTCTTTATTATCTCTACTGTCTCTTTATTATTTATTATCTTTACTGTCTCTTTATTATCTTATCTTTTTTATTTGTTTTCCTGTACCCTGTCTGTCTCTGTCCCTCTCTGCATGCGTTAATAATTAATAACAGTAAAAAGTCATAATGAATAATAATAATAATAATGATAATAAATAATTGATAATAATTAATAATAATAATAAATAATAATAATAATAAATAATAATAATAAATAATAATAAATAATAATAAATAATAATAGTAATACTAATAAATATTGTGTATAATATTGCGGTGTACGTACAGCTGGAAGAAGCCCGATGTCTGTCTCCTCAAAGTCGGAGTGTATGGGGAGCTAAGCATAATTCGAACCTATCTTTATCAGCAGCAGAAGCTAAAGAAGCTGCTCGTTTCGGAGTAGATGTACTGTCTCCTTTGCTCGTTTATTTAAATAAAAAAGAAGAAAATAATAAATTACATCACAGGACCCCGAAGATGCGCAGCTCGAAGCACAACAACCCCACAACAGCAGCAGCAGCAGCAGCACCAGCACCAGCAGCAGCAACAGCAGCAACAACAGCAGCAGCAGCAACGCAGCAGCAGCAACCGTCGAGTCTTCTTCCATACAGGAGAAAACAAATTCAACTGACTTCACCTCGGGCCTTCTTCTGTCAGTTCTTCGTCAACGGATCTAGGGTTTAGGGTTTAGGGTTTAGGGTTTATGATTTTGATTGTTAGTGTTTAGGATTAGGGTTTAGTATTGTTTATGAGGGTTTACTAGGGTTTATGAATTAGGGTTTGCTTGTGGGTGGTTTGTGCTTTAGGTAGTATACAGGGTTTATTAGGGTTTATGAGGGTTTATGAGGGTTTACTAGGGTTTATTAGGGTTTACTAGGGTTAATGAATTAGGGTTTTGAGTGTGTGTGGTTTGTGGTTTAGGTAGTTTGCAGGGTTTGAAGGGTTTTCGGGGTGTATGCTCACCTCATTTTTATTTGTTGTTAGTCTGGCGGATAGGGTCTGAGCGTTTCTTTAGAGTCTTCTTGCCCGACGAAAAAATAGAATTAAACAGCTGGAGTGTATCCGGTCTGCTGCATGCAGACAGCGCAGATGTTCTCATAAACGCTCAAGTCATCAACCTCCGCAGACTCCCCCCAGGTGTACATGTACGAAAAACCCTAAACCCTAAACCCTAAACCCTAAATCTTAACCTTAAATCACCCTAAATAACCCTAAACCCTAAATTACCATACCCTAGACCCTAAACCCTATATCATCTTCAATAAAACTTAATAACCCTAATTAACCCTAAACCCTAAATAACCCTAACTAACCCTAAACCCTAAACCCTAATTAACCCTAAATATCCCTAAATAACCCTAAACCCTAAACCCTAAATAAGCCTAATTAACCATAAAACCCTATGCCCTAGCGACAAAAGGCTAACGGCACAATAATTTTTTAAAACCTAAACCCTAAACCCTAGCGAGCTCAAACAACAAATGAAACTGCACACAGTATATCCTTCAAACCCTAAACCCTAAACCCTAGTTAGATGCATATTACATAAATGCACATCTTGTTCTCCGGCAGTCGTATGGTTGAGGGTTTATATAATATATATATATATATATACATATATATCAAAATTTATATATATATATATATATACATATGCATACTGAAATGCATATAAATAAATAAATAAATAAATAAATATACATGTATATATATATATATATATATTCTTTATATATATCAGATTCGATTATGTGCTGTCTATCACTTCATGTTCTAGGGTTTAGGGTTATATAGGGTTATATAGGGTTATATAGGGTTTAGGGTTTAGGGTTATATAGGATAATTTAGGGTTTGATTGTGTGTGCAGATGAATTCTATGTCGTTCGCTTCTAGCGGAGGAGACCCTGAGGGTTTAGATTCTGGTCTGAGTGAGGGTTTAGACGGCGAGGGTTTGCTGCTTGTGTTTATTGAGGCATGCAGACTGTGCTGCTGCGCACTTCAGCAGCACATAGAGAGCTGCATGCAATCTTTGCTAGGCTCTGACTTTCTTTCTATTAGCAAATTACCCGAAGCAAACATTTGGCCGCAAGGAAGAGTAGATGGAGAGAAAGAAGTTATTGATTTAGAAGGCATTCTACATCTCGTGGTACGTCTAAAGCTATTATTAGGGTTTAGGGTTTAGGGTTTAGGGTTTAGGGTTTATGGCCTCACGGAAGAATAGACGAAGAAAGAGAAGTTCTTGATTTAGAAGGGTTTGTGCTTTATGGTTTAGGGTTTACAGTAATTGTACGGTTTAGGGTTTAGGGTTATTGAGGGTTATTTTGTGCTATTTTGGGCTTTCTAGGGTTTAGGGTTTAGGGTTTAGGGTTTAGGGTTACTCAGGGTTTAGGGTTTAGGGTTTGTGCGCAGACGGCGTACTGGAATGAAGTCTTTGAGCAGATTGTCCGTGACCCCCAATTGCTGCAGCGCTTGCAGGTAAGGAGCATCTGCAAGGGTTTAGGGTTTAGGGTTTAGGGTTTAGGGTTTAGGGTTTGTGGCCTCAAGGAAGAATGGATGGAGAAGAAGAAGTTTCATAAATTGTCTGTACTCTTTTATTAGTTATTTCTAGTTCCTTAGGGTTTATGCTTTAGGGTTTAGGGTCTAGAGGTTCGGGGTATTCAGGGATTAGGGCTTAGGGTTTAGGGTTTAGGGTTTAGGGTTTGTGGCCTCAAGGAAGAATGGATGAAGGAGAAGAAGCTTGTACTATTTTATTAGTTATTTATACTTCCTTAGGGTTTATGCTTTAGGGTTTAGGGTCTAGAGGTTTGGGTTATTCAGGGTTTAGGGTTTAGGGTTTAGGGTTTAGGGTTTAGGGTTTGTGCAGCGGACAGTCATTTGCTGGGCTTCTCAAGATTTGTCGCGGTTTGACCGCGCATATATTTGCGAGTTTCTCGGAGATGCTGCCGCCTTTTGCAGGGTAATAATAATAAATAAATTAAATATATTTATTTGTTTTATTTGTTTTGTTTATTTATTATTTATTTATTTATTTATTTTATTTGTCTATTTTTATCTATCTTCTTCTTTCTGCTCATCTATCTATATACCTATGTCTTCACATTATATATATATATATGCTTCTGTCCTTTTCTCTCTGTTTATTTTATTTTATTTATTTATTTTATTTATTTTATTTATTTAGTTTATTTATTTTATTTTATTTGTTTTAGTTGCTTTGTCTGTCTCTCTGTCTTTCTTTGTCTGAGTCTCTCTTTGTTTGTATTTATTTGTTTATTTTTATTTATCTCTCTCTCTTTCTGTGCTACGGCTATTGCTGCTCTTATTGTTGCTGCTGCTGCTGCTACTGCTGCTACTGCTGCTGCTGCTGCTGCTGCTGCTACTGCTTCTGCTGCTGCTGCTGCTGCTGCTTAGGCGTTTGGGGTTGAAGAGGCCGCTGCTCAGTTGGAGGAAATGCGCTGCCGAGTGTCTCCACCAGGTGGAGGCATCGATGTCTTCTCAAACCCTAAACCCTAAACCCTAAACCCTAATCCTAGACCTATCGCAGCAGAGCCAAGGCCGCTCGCTGCTCTTTAAAACCCTAACGCTGTTTACTTTTTTCTCTTTCTTCTCTTAAAGCACCCGCTGGGAGCTGACTTGGGTTTAGGGTTTAGGGTTTAGGGTTTAGGGTTTAGCGGAGCTCAACTTCAGTTCCTTGTATTATATTTAGTCTCTAAGGGATTAAACATTATATTCACCTCAACATATTATTTATATTGTTTATTTTATACTTGTATATATATATATATATATTAGTAGACATATATATAGATATATCTATATAGATTTATATATATGTGTATTGTAGATTTATATGTTTACGTATATTTATATATGTATATATATATATCAATATATTTATAATTAGTTATATTTACAATTCGATATGTTTATAATTAGATATATATATATATATATATTTATATATATTTACATATTTATATAAAGGGTGTGGATAAAGAAAGAAGTAAAAGAAGATAATTTGCTCTGTACATTGTCTGTCTGTCTGTCTGCGGAGGCTTTGAAATAAACAAAAATAAATAAATGAAGATGCCTCTCACAGAATGCTGCTGCAGCAGCAACTGCTGCTGCTGCTGCTGCTGTTGCTGCTGCTGTTTACGCCGGTTCTGCTGCTGCTGTTTCTCCTGTTGCTGCTGCTGCTGCAGCAGCAGCAGCAGCAGGGCTGTTTCTGTTTATGCATCGGCGTAATATAAAATATAACGTCGAAGCACCGATAACAACAAAACAGAAGCAGCAGCAGCAGCAACAACAACAGCAACAGCAGCAACAGTAGCAAGATTAACAGCAACAGCAGCAGCAGCAGCACCAAGATGCAGTTCCTGCTGCTGCTGCAGGTCTTGTTGATAAGAAGAATAAAGAAGAAGAGAATCATGCAGCAACGCTCTTATATAAATAAATATATATATATATAAACATATATATAAACATATATATAAATATATATATATATTTATTGAAGATGAAGTGTATATGCATGAATAGGAATAAGAATAAGAATATATTACTCTCTATGAGACAAGCTTGTAGTCTCAGGAGAAGAGTTAATAATATCTGTACAGGATATTAAACATAAAAGTGCATGCGAGTCTGCGGCGCGATAAAAGAAGTTCTCTACAATACCCCGACCTTGGATGCTACAGTTTGTCGATTTATCTGAGCACTCTGTAAACTTCTCGCGAACTCGAGGCATGCGGGTGTGCAGCTCAAGCCCAAACCCTAATAAATTAATGCGCAATATATCATATAAATTAATTAATACATATATAAATATATTATTATTATATAATATATATTCATCTTTATATCTATGTATATATGTTTATATGCTCTCAGCAAAAAAAAACAAAACAAACAAAATTTTAACAGACAAAGAAACAGAAAAACCCAAGCAGCAGCTGCAGCAGCAGCAGCAGCAACAGCAGCAGCAAAGGCATCTGCAGCAGCAGCAGCAGTAGTAGTAGTAGCAGTAGTAGCAGCAGGTAGGTAAGAGAAGAAAATATAAAAAAATATATACAAATATAACTAAACCCTAAACCCTCACCTAGAGCCACCCCTAATTTAGGACGACAGGAACCCTAAAACCCTAAACCCTAAACCCTAAACCCTAAACCCTAAACCCTAAACCCTAAACCCTCACCTAGAGCAACCCCTAAATTAGGAGGGCAGGAGGCCTTTACAATTCCGTCTGTGTACGCGTGTTTAGTAGCGACGCCTGTAACCACTTCTCCTACGTTGGTTACAGTCTGAAGCGCACACCAAACCCTAAACCCTAAACCCTAAACCCTAAAACCTAAACCCTAAACCGCAAACACCACCAGTTCGTATGCCGTTCATACAACAAACAATACACCGCAAAGCAATTAAACTAAGCCTAAACCCTACCCACTACAAAGCACAAAAAAACCTAAACCCTAAACCCTAAACCCTAAACCCTAAACCCTAAGCCCTAAACCCTACACACCAACGAGCAATACCCCTATTTTCGAAAGCATCTAAAACACAACAAAACCCTAAACCCTAAACCCTCAAACCTAAACGGAGCCCTCTACACCTAAAACGTGCATTTGCTACCAGCGCAGAATCACATCAAACCCTAAACCCCTTTTCATAAACCCTCTTTATAAACCCTATTTTATAAACCCCTTTGATAAACCCTAAACCCTAAACCCTAAACCCTATTTATATACAAACATCTTTTTATATACCCTCCCTACAATCTTTCGTTGCAGTGACCACTAAACACCCACACGACACCCACCACCAACCCCTAAACCCTAAACCCTAAACCCTAAACCCTAAACCCTAAACCCTAAACCCTAATTACCTGAAGGCCTGGGGTAGCTTCATCGACGCAGACAATCCAAACCATATTTTGTTGAGTGCCTCGCAACCCCAACGCCGTACATGAAGGCAACCCTAAATAAATAAATAAATAAATAAATAAATAAATAAATAAATAAATATATTATATTAAACTGTCTGTCTCCAACAGTTAGAAGTTGCACGACAAGCAACGAAACCTTTCTTTCTAGGGTTTTCCGTCTATAATATTGTAAATAAATTATATATATAATACATACAGATATACAAATATATAATTATATATATATACATATATATATAAATATATACTACATATAATATACTGATATACAACATATGTATAAACATATAGATATATATATATATATATATATATATAAACAACTAGCGAAGAATAAGAATAAAAAAAATACAAGTCTAATACGCTCACAACAAGAGAAGAAAGCTGTCTTCTTAGGGCCTTCGGTTTATAACATTACATTTAATATATATAATATAAAAAAATATATATATATATATATACAATATATAATATATACAATATATACAGAGAGAGAAAGATAATAAGAGTAAATAAATAAAATAAATAATAATATTTATTTACCCGCACAACAAGAAAAGAAAGCTGTCTTCTTAGGACCTTCTCTTTATAACATTACATTTAATATATATACATATATATATATATATTATATATAATATACAACATATATATGTAGATAATAATAAAATAAATAATAATATTTATTTACCCGCACAACAAGAAAAGAAAGCTGTCTTCTTAGGACCTTCTCTCTATAACATTACATTACATTATATATATATAAATAGTATACAACATATGTATATATATATATATATAAATAGATAATAATAATAAAATAAATAATAATATTTATTTACCTGCACGACAAGGAAAGAAAGCTGTCTTCTTAGGGCCTTCTCTCCCTCCAGTTAGAGACAGCGCAAAACCTGTTAATATCATCGACCCCTGAGGGCATACTGCTACCGCTTTCTGCAGCAGCATAACAAACAATTAACAAACGCAAATGCTGCTGCTGCTGCTGCTGCTGCTGTTGCTGCTGCTGATGCTGGTGGTGCTGCTGTGTTTGCTGCTGCTGCTGGTGCTGATGGTTTTGCTGCTGCTGCTGGTGCTGCTGCTGGTGCTCGTGCTGCTGCTGCTGTTGCTGCTGCTGCAGGTGCTGGTGCTCGTGCTGCTGCTTCTGGTTTTGCTGCTGCTGCTGCTGCTGCTGATTCGTGTGTGCTAGACATTAAGGTTTTACACCTCAAGGTTAAACCCTAAAACAACCCTCAGCAGCCTCAGTACAATTTCTATTATGGGCTAGGATTCAGTGCTCAGTGCTTAGGGTTTAGGGTTTAGGGTTTAGGGTTTAGGGTTTAGGGTTTACGAGGGGCGACTGGACAACCACTTGCTCGAGGCCAGCTACGGGTTCAGGGCCGCACAAAACAAAAATGCGAGCATCATCCCCTTCTTTAGCGGGTCTCTCTAATCCGACGCATTTTTCTCTTCAACAAACACCCATCACAAACCCTAAACCCTAAACCCTAAACCCTAAACCCGTCAGAACAAACCCTACGTGTAAACGCCAGGAGAAGCGGTTACGCCGCCCTTTCAAACGTCATATACGTCGCTCCAAACCCACAAAACCCTAAACCCTAAACCCTAAACCCTAAACCCTAAACCCTATGCTCTTACCGTCCAGGTACGCAAGCCTTTATTCCTGCTCGTGCAGCAATTGCATTTTCATCTAAGAAGTTTAACTCAAGTGCAAACCCCAGCAAAACCCTCTCATGAGGAGCGCACATTGCAAACCCTGGGGGTTCGCCTGCGTACGTCACTTGGTTGCCGGCGCGTAGCTGCAGCAGCAGCAGCAGAAACAGCAGCAGCAGCAGCAGCAGAAACAGCAGCAGCAGCAGCAGCAGAAACAGCAGAAGCAGCAGCATAAACAGCAAGAGGAGCAGCAGCAGAAACCACAGCAATAGCAGCAGCAGAAGAAACAGCAGCAGCAGAAACACCAGCAGCAGCAACAGCAGCAACAGCAGCAACAGCAGCAACAAAATAAAGTGCTAAAATGAAGATGAAGTTGTCTCGCACGTTCATCCCAAAGAAAAGCACAGCCCATCGCACCGCATCTCCTACGGTTTAGGGTTTAGGGTTTAGGGTTTAGGGTTTAGGGTTTAGGGTTTGCGTACGATTTCTCCAATGGATAGGGGTTTCCCAGCAATGGCTGTGAGGTCTGCTTTACTCATGCCCACTGCATCTGAGTAGAACTGAGCAGCTTTCTTGAAGTTTTCTTTGTGTTCATCAGGAAGAAGATATTCGAGGGGTTGGAGAGTAAGCTTAACCTGTTGAATTGAGGTGTACATACACCGCAGCGAAAAATGCAGGTTGTTTCTGCACGTTTTGCAAGTTGTACAGAAACCGCTGATCTGGCGTATTTTGAGTGCTTTTTTGCGCGTTTAAATAGTAAAAATGTGTAGAATAATATTTTAAATGCAATGAGAAAGAAATTCGGAGGAAAAAGCTGCAAAAACCCTCAGGTTTCCCTCGAAAACGTACCGGCATCGGCAATTCTTCTACTGAATCGGACCACTGGGCTAATGAATCAGGATCTGAAACATCTCTCGGCACTCTTCCTCCCATAATAAGGGTTTCTGTTTGATAATCAAAGTGCTTTAGCTGTTCTTTTTGTTCTTCATCCTTTTCAACGTTCGTCGAACCCCCCACACTACCCACTCCAAATGTTGCCTTCAATGCACTTTTCACGTTCGTTCCCAAACTACTCAAAGCCGCGATATCCGAATTCGACATCGTTATCTGGTGAGTCAGCTTTCCTCCTAAACACACATCAACCCTAAACAACCCTAAACAACCCTAAACAACCCTAAATAACCCTAAGTAACCCTAAATAACCGTAAATAACCCTAAATAACCCCTAAATAACCGTAAATAACCCTAAACAACAAACCCTAAACAACAAACCCTTAACAACAAACCCTAAACAACAAACCCTAAACAACAAATCCTTAACAACAAACCATATACAACAAACCCTAAACAACAAACCCTAAACAACAAACCCTAAACAACAAACCCTAAACAACAAATCCTAAACAACAATCAAAACAATAAGAACTTCATTATGCTAAGATAGCCCCATACACACAGAGCACAACAAACATATATACCTACATATACATTATATACATATATATATTATATATATATATATTACCTGCGAAGAGGCGAACAACATAATGAGTGCCGAACTGGTCGATGAAGTTCATCCACGTCTTCACAGTTGAGTCGGCGCAGAGTTTGTCTTTTGTATTTTCTCTCCACACCTCTGGCGAACATCCTTTACCTTCGTCAGCCCCGTCAAATGTAGGCGGAAGACCCGCTACAGCCTCATTAAAAGCTAATGTGTAGTTCCTGTACATACGCATCATAAATATATATAGATATATATAGAAACAGCAGCAGCAGCAGCAGCATGAGCAACATCAACAGCAACAGGAGCAGCAACATGAGAAGCAGCAGCAGGAGCAGCAGCACCATCGTTGCGCAGCAGCAGCAACATGAGCAGCATCAACAGCATGCGAAGCACCACCAGCAGCAGCAGCACCATCAGCAGCAGCAGCATCAGCAGCAGCAGCAGCAGCAGCATTATCATTAACATAAGCTGACCAGTTGAAGTTGTCAGTTTGTGCGAGCCCAGCTTCGAATCGAAGGCAGTAAGTTTTAAGGATAAAAGTTTTAGTGTTTCTTTTAACAGTTCTTTTAGCAATATCTCTATAAGCAGCAGAAGCAGAGAAGCTGTTAAGACCGACGCTATCCCCACCAACAAGTGAAGCATCGGCTTCTAATTCTTTCTGATAATCAGCAAGGCTGCTGACTTCGCTAAGATTCTCACTCTGTTTGCATGCAACAAAAGGTCTGCTATAAGCCCCACGGGGCTGCAGCTCTCTTAAATCGCTGCTAACACCCTCTTCATCCTGCGAATATGAGAATCTTATCACAGGAGACCTTAAGCCTGGGTCGCCCATCAGATTAGGATCGCCTAAAGGATTGCCTCGCACTATATCGTATCCTACACCCAAATAACCTAAGACGCATGCAGCAGCAAATATAACATGTCAAACAACGTATAACACAACTTATCATCCTACGCACTAAACAACTAATGCAGCAAACACAAAAGCAAATGCAGCAAAAACAGCAGCAAAAGATTATATATACATGTATATATATATATATAACAATATGTATATATATATATATATTATATAAATAATATATGTATATGTATATATATATATATATTGCATAATGTATAAATCTGTATACAGATATATACATATATGCACATAGTCAAACCCCCAGAACATCGAATAACAACGCACCGACAAACAAAAGCAACGAATTAAAAGAGAAAAAGAGCAAAACCCTAAACCCTAAACCCTAAACCCTAAACCCTAAAGGGTGCTTACAGAACCCTGGAGAGACGGTTTTAGCTCTGGCGTATATATCTTGCATCGTTACTGCTTGCTGCGCAGCCTCCCACTCTTGCTTTCTTCTTTCTTCTCTTCTTGCTTCTAAATCTTGAGCAGCTTGTGCAGCAGCAAGGGGGTTAAGATCCCGCAGTCGCTGCCCAGCCCAGTCCGCTGTACGTACACCCCAATTCATACGCACATTCAGACGCATGCATGCGCTGCTGCTGCTGCTGCTGTTCTTGTTGCTGTTGTTGTTGCCTCAGGTGGACGGAGCTGGTCTAGGGTGTGTATAGTTCGTGTTTTTTGGGTTTAGGGTTTAGGGTTTAGGGTTTAGGGTTTGTGTCTTACGGCGTTTAAAGGTTCCGGATGCATCTGCACTATCGGTTTGTTTATCTTTTTTTTTATGTTTGTCTTTGCTTTTGTGGGGTTTGCTTGCAGTGTCTGCATCATCTGCAGCAAACATATCATCGAGATCTACTGCAGCGTCTCCTTTCTTTTTCTTTGATTTCGGCAACGAGAATAAACCCTTGCCTTTGGTTTTGTTCTTCTTGTCGCCCCCCCCAAACCCTGGCAGAGTAAATGTACCCTTAAAGGGATCGTCTCCCCGGGGATCGTCTCCCCCGGGATCGACTCCACTGGGATCGTCACCCCACAGATCGCCTCCCAGGGGATCGCCTCCCAGGGGATCGCCTCCCAGGGGATCGCCTCCCAGGGGATCGCCTCCCAGGGGATCGACTGCCTGGGGATCGTCTCCCTGGGGAGCGTCTCCAAGGAAATCCCCCCCCAAGAAATCGTCTGCTGGGGGATCGCCTGTCCCTCCTTGATTTGTCTTGAGGCTTTCCTGCTGCTGCTGCTGCTCCGGCTGCTGCTGCTGCTGCTTGTTCTTCTCTCTTCTAGGTTTCAGCGTGAGCTTTCTCCTTTTTGATTTTGTTGCTGCTGTAGCTAGTTGTTGTTGTTGTTGTTGTTGTGATGCTGCTGCTGCTGCTGCTACTGCTGCTGCTGCTGCTGCTGCTGCTGAGCCCCTCGGGTTGGCGTCTCCTTTACCGCTTCCATCTCCGCTCCCTGAAAGAAAGTCATTCAAAAAGTCAACCCCAAATCCCTGCTGCTCAGCCTCACTGCTGCTGCTGCTGCTGCTGCTGCTGCTGCTGCTGCTGTCAGAGGGAGAACGGTCCCCAACCCCACGTCGCTGCGGGCGCGACGGAGAAGCAGCTGTTGCTGCTGCTGCTGCTTCTGCTGCTGCTGCTGCTGTTTGAAGCATGGCTGTGTGCTCTACCTCTTCCCTGCTGCTGAACACATCTGCTAACCTGCTGCTGCTGCTGCTGCTGCTGTTGCTACTGTTGTTGCTGCTGTTGGTGTCCTGCTGGGTCTGCTGCAGCTCAGCGTCTCCACTGGAAGCAACAAGAGCAGCTGCAGCAGAATCCTCAGCAGCAGCAGCAGAAGCAGCAGCAGGAGTCTCCCTATCACTACCCTCAGCAGCCAGCCCTTCAATCTGCTGCAGCAGCAAAAAACAAACAGCAGCAACGCATGCATGCAGACCCTCAACCAGCTGTACGTACACCTCAACAAACACCTCCAGCACGTACACATACTCTTGCCTCCCCCACTAAACCCTAAACCCTAAACCCTAAACCCTAAACCATAAACCATAAACCATAAACGCTAAACGTGCAACAAGCTAGCTAGCTAGCTCCGTAGCTAGCTAGCTAGCTGCAGCTGCAGCTGCAGCTGTTGCTGTGCTGTGCTTCACCTGGGTCTCTTGAAGGCCCGAGTTGCTGCTGCTGCTGCTGCTGCTGCTGCTAATGTGTTCATGTGGGTAGACAAGAACCTGTTGCGTGTCTCCATAGACAGGGATATAATTATCTGTAGCAGAAAGGGATAAAGAGACAGGAGACAAGTGCTGCTGCTGCTGCTGCAGCAGCTGCTGCTGAGCTAAATCAGCCCCCTCAACGCCATCAAGAGAGGTTTGCTGCTGCGATGGAGTTGCAGCAGCAGGAAGGAAGAAGAAAGACAGCTGAGCAGTGCAGATGCAAGCAACAATAAGCCCCCGGAACAACCGTCTGTTGCTGCTGCTGTTGCTGCTGCTGTTGCTGCTGCTGCTGCTGCTGCTGCTGCTGCTGCTGCTGTTGCAGTTGCTGCTGCCCCAGCCCCAGAGGGGAAATGAATAGAAAGACATCGCTATTGCGCCTTGAGTTGGGGCTGCATGCTTTAAGAAGAAGGGGGACGACAACTCAGCAGCAAATGCTAAGGTGAAGCAGAGCAATAACAAGAAGATCAGAGACCACAACAACAAAAGGGATAATAAAAAGCCCCCTAAACCCGCTTTATAGATAGACTGCAGGCTATGCCTTAGCAGCAGCTTGTGCTGCTGCTGCAGCTACTGCTGCTACTGCTGCTGCTGCTGTTTTTTTTCGCAGCGGGTTCGAGACCTTAAGATGTAAACAACTGCAGTACTTCCCCCTCTTCTGAATCTCCCCGCGGGGTGTACGTTGAGGGTGAAGATGACTGCAGCAAAAGGAGATGATAAACGGGTTAGAAGCAGAAGAATGATACGAAATCGGCAGAGAGTCAGCTAGCTACCTACGGCAGAAGATGAAGATATAAGGGCGTCTGGGGTGTAGAAGGGAGGCTTTAGAGAAGATAAACGAAGGAAAAGGTAAATAATGAAGAAAGAAATGCAGCAAAAAGAAAGAAAGTAATATCTCCGTTGCTAAAATACATGCAGAGCACCCGAGGAAGCCACAGTGGGCGGTTGGAGGTTTGAAGGCTTAGACGAAGAAAAAACAAAAAAAATAAATATTTAAACGGTGCATATTATTAATAAATTATAATAAATAAATAAACTTTATTGCTTTTCATTGCAATAGAAAAGATTTACCCAACTAATTCATTAAAACCCTCTGGACGCTCAATGCAGCTTTCCTTCTCGAGTGTACATACACTGCAACGAAGCACTTTCACTCCGCTTTCTGTGTTTTCTGAGGGTATTTCGAAGATAATTTATTGTAATATCTCTAAATATATCGTTTAAAATACTAAAAATATCTTTTAAATCAGTTTAAACGAGAAGAAAACGCGAAAACACTGGATCGGCACCTCGAGACCACTGGACATCCACCGTGCATATCGATGAATGCAGAAGAAAATATGTTTGTCTTTGTTTTATTTACTTCTCCTTTTAATTCTTTTTTATATTTCATTTTATTTATACTAACAGCATCATCAGCTTCACAAGCATACCCCAGGACACATGCGCACACCCTGAACCCGAGACCATAACACCATAGACCCTAAACCCTAAACCCTAAACCCTAGATTTTAAATCCTAGGCTTTTCTTTCATAATATTTGAACTCCATTTAAGGGAAAACAGGAGTAACGCCAGGCTGTAGGGGTGCTGCACCCAGCCACTCAGCAACCCTAAACCCTAAACCCTAAACCCTAAACCCTTGGCACAGAATTGCCGATACCCCTATATCCACTAAGCTATGTACCCTACAAGAGAAGCAGTTAAACCCTAAACCCTAAACCCTAAACCCTAGATACACTCAAGATGCAGTTCAAGCCACGGTGGGCGTTGGATCCCCCGCAGGATGAACTGAGCCCTCAAACTCTAAACCTTAAACCCTAAACCCTAAGCCCCAAACCCTGAACTCTAAACCCTAAATATTGCATGTTTGAATCAGGATTAAGCCGCAAACGGGGATGAGTGTTCGCCGAAATGAGAGGGGGAGGTGAAAGGGAAGCAGAGTTTCCACAGGACTCTGTGCAAACCCTAAACCCTAAACCCTAAACCCTAAACCCTAAACCCTAAACCCTAAACCCTCGACTATAGGAGTGGCGTTTTTTTTTATTCCAACTGCTCCGGATCTTCCTCCTCTTCGCTGTCGCTTTCAAAGAAAACAGAAGCCTTCTGCACCACCAAACCCATGCATGCAAAACCACGCATGCATGCAATCAAGCTAGGGTTTAGGGTTTTAGACGAGGGTTTAGGGTTTCGTAGGAGAGTTTCGTGGTTTGAACTAGGGTTTGTGGGTCTCAGCAAGGGATTAGGGTTTACGGGTTTGAACTAGGGTTCGAAAGGGTTTAGGGTTTAGAGTGGTTTAGGGTTTACGGCTCTTAGCAAGGGTTTGGGGTTTAGGGATTCGGGCAAGCGTTTGAGGACTTGGGTTGCAGCTAGGGGTTCCTGATTAGGGTTTAGGGTTTAGCTAGGGTTTAGGGTTTAGCTAGGGTTTAGGGTTTAGCTAGGGTTTAGGGTTTAGCTTACCGGCTGCCAAATATGAAGTCTGTTGTCGTTGGCGACGGAAGCCACCATCTGCGAAGTCAGCAAACCCTAAACCCTAAACCCTAAACCCTAAACCCTAAACCCCAATCGCTTGGAGCGTGTTTCCAGGCCCCCAAACCCTGATTTCCATTGCACTGAGTACGCCTAGGGTCTAGGGTTTAGGGTTTAGGGTTTAGGGACCTGAGGGAATTTCTCTTCGCAATTCCACGCCGCGTCGTAGATATCTGCACGATGCCCCCCGTGAGTAAACTGCAAATAAACCCTAAACCCTAAACCCTAAACCCTAAACCCTAAACCCTAAACCCTAAACCCTAAACGTTTAGATAACTCCTCGCTCAGCTCCAGAGCCTGAACCCTAAACCCTAAATCGTAAACACTATCCCTCAACAATAAACCCTAGGAACAATGCTGTAAAACCCTAAACCCTAAAACAGGAAAGCCCAAACCCTAAACGCCATAAGCCCTTTCCCTCAGACCCTAGGTTCAACCCCGTAAACCCTAAACCCTAAACCGTAAACCCTAAACCCTCGTTTAAAGCACCAGTAGCTCTGGAGGACCGTCTTCAGCATCTTCAGGGTCTTGGGGTGCGCCGACCCTCTCGAAGTTATAAATAGATATCGTCTTATCGGTGGAGCCTTCGGTAATAACGGACGAAAGAAAAGCAGAAAAAGATATAACAGAGACAGAGCGCTCCGAAGCATGTTCAACTGCATGCAGAGGTGCACCTAAGCGACGCCAGTCGTACAACGCCAGCAACTGCACACACACAAACCCTAAACCCTAAACCCTAAACCCTAAACCCTTGTTTGACGATGCACCCACAACGGCTGCTCGCTCGCTACCAGTCATGTGCATGGCGCTAAACCCATACCCATAAAA